AAAATCCCTTTGAAAGGAGTTGCTTTAGCTATGTCTGTGTTTCCATGTCTTTGAAACATTGCATAAAGGCCTATACTTCTTTTTTTAATGCAGTTAGAACTGAAAAAAAATCTACAGCACTTATTCAGGAAAATGGGCAACGGACAAAAGGCCAATTTTTCCTTTTTGAGGATAAGTCCTTGGGTCGTTTTAAGTGCATTAGTCCGCTAATTAAATATTATATGTTTAACGAAAAATGCCACTTTGAAAGCAGCTGGATTGTTTGACTCAAAGACGCTGCTGTAGCCTTGATCAGTGGAACTGTGTGCGAACACGGGGAGGTAAAGAACGCCATTGTTGCCAGTCCTCCCCTCATTTGACCTGCAGTCATCCTCTCTACTGATTTTACAATCACATTCTCTTTTGTGCTCTCCTCAGAGATAAAGACACTAGACACAGTTATGCAGAGGAGGGGACTCAGATGTTTCTGAGCATGTTGCATCCATTTTGCATAGTCCGATGTGTTTGTTTCATTGACTGCACATCAACTCATTGTTCACTGGTTAAAACGGTACGAAGCTCTCCCTGCTACCAGTTTAGAAGACAAGCTCAACAACCTTGGATTAAAACAATAGAAAGTTTCACACTTGAATGTTTCTCAATCTAATGAAAATGTAGAGTAACATTTCTTCCATCCATGAGCCGTACCAAGCCGGAGTACCTGGAGGGAAACCAGTCCACACAGATACATAGGCCCTGACTGAACTAAGGTGCGAACCCAGGACCTTCTTGCTGTGAGGCGACACTGCTAATCACTGCACCACCTTACCGTCCTTCTAATATTTCAATATATTACAATTTCAATGGTTTGATATTTTCATCTCAGTAGAGGTATTCACTTCCTCCTTTTCTTCAAGAGTTTTAACCTCGATCTTTACTGCCACAGTTTCTCTAGGAATTATAAACAGGATTTATACTTTGAAAGCAGAGGTTCACTGCAAATGCAAGTAGTAGTGTTCCCCTTTACGTAGCCAGGCAGAAAGTAAAGGTGTGGAGGCTGGGATGGTGGATTGATGGACCGGAGTTTCACAGCATCACATATTTTCTAAATTTTGATGTAAAAAAATATATTGGTAGTGAATGCAATGAATGTTTCCCAATAACAATTGATCTTAGTAGTTAAGAGTATTTCCTACAAATAAATCTTTATAAACTCTTAAATTCTTAAATTTCTGCAGCACTTCAGAGTGAGTGCATGCACATGCGGTTTAGAGCGTTTTAATGTCAGCTCTCTGTGTTTCTGAAGGTGATGTCACAAATTAACAAAAATGATAAGAACTTATACTAAACATGCAGTTTGAGATTCATCCTGCAGGTTAAAGAACTTCTTCAGATGCTCCTAATCTCCTGTGGGTGGGACGGACTCATTAAACTACAATAAAATCCAGTCTTCTATGACAACGTTTTTGGGAAACTCCTTAATCTTTAAACAGAAACCACCATTTTGTATAAAAGCCCAAAAATAATGTATCCAAAAATAAAAAAGGTCACTGTTCTTCAGCCTTTTCGTTTACAGTCATAACACTGGTCTCCTTTCTTTCTTTTTTTTATTTCACAACCAAAAACTCAGAATGTGAAGAAGAGATACTGAAAGAAATTTACAGAGGAACAAATATGCTATAAAGTTGAAATATATGTTTTTTTTTTATCCATTCTATAAACTTTAGCATAAAAGAGGGAATATAAGGCCTGTAGTAACTAAACACTTTGGAGCCATAGCCACAAGTCTGAACCAGTTCTGTTGCAGTGACATGTGGAAAATGCTAAAATGCTTTGCACAGATAGAATCAGGAGACTGCGAGTTTTCAAACAATGCATAATTTGTCACGGTTGTGTGAAGATTGAGGTACAGACCAAAACACACCTACGGTAGCACTACCAAGGCCAAAGTCCTACAGGTCGGAGCATGTATAAAAGGTTTGAAAGGTTAAACTCAAAAGGGTTTTTGCAAGACGGATTTAATGATGCTCTGTACGGTTGTTGGTGTGTGGCCATGTGACATGATCAAAAGCTGCGGAACCGCTACTAAACCTTGGACCGTGTGGTGAGTTTTGTCAAGTTTTGTCTCCATTTGTTTTCCCTACAGAATCCACTCCTGGCAACTAAAGCCTGATTAAGGGCTTCATGATTACGTTTAGGCAACTCAAAGCACTTGGTTAAGGTTCTGGAAACATTGTGGTTATGACGAATATATCACAAGGTTCGGCAAACCAAAGCACTTGGTTAGGTTTTGAGAAAGGTCACGGTCTTGGTAGAAGACTGAAAAAGTCGACACTGATTTGAAGGATTAGACTGTCGAGCTAACGAGCTTTGTACTCTCTGCCATCCACCCCGCCTCCCTCCCCACGAGTTTTCACTGCAGTGTAACGCCACACTTTCTCCTGCACTGCAACAAACCCATCACCAGTGAACAGAACCCAGGTGGCGTTACAGTTCCCCCTCCATTGCGTACAGTAAAACAAATTAGTTGTGTGTAAATATGAGTCGTAGTAGAGATGGGTTGTAATGCACGCATCATAATACTTTAACTGAACTAGTGTCCCCTGCAGTTGTGCCTCATATGGAAGTATGCACACCTATTGATTACAGGTTGCAGTAGCCACATTACCCACATGAGAAAGGGCTGAAACACCTTTGATCACGAGCCGCTCTCAAACACAGCATTGAAGATTATTGTAGCCTCAGATCACTGAGTAAAAAGTTGCATTTGATATATGTGGAACCACCAATTACAGCGCTCACTGCTGTCTCCTCATATTGTTTTGTTGATTTATAATCACTTTACTTTTTATGTAGGTTTGATTGAAGCATAAAAAAAGGGGAGAAGGTTTTTCCTGCGGTGCCCTTTTTGTTATTGTTTCAAAAGAAGAGCACTTGATCGTATTTTTGACCTCTGTGTTTGAAGAGGAGCTGAAAAGCAGCAAGATGACATCCGGCAGGAACGACCGCACAGATATCATCGCATACGCAACACATTATGACATTAGAAATCTACAGTCTTATCAAAGCCTTGACATCACATAGCTAAACACATGACATACAGCTGTCAGTTCTTAGAAAGTCACTGTTAGCCACCCTGTCTGCAGCAGCTGACAATAGCTTTCATTCTACACACTGCAGTGATGTAACAAAGCTCAGGCTGCTGAGGTCCTGTCAGGTTACATGTGGACAATAGAGGATTCAGGGACACACTGAGTCTGTCTATAACATAAAAACATCATGTTGTCAAAGAGTACAGATGACAATTTACTGACTGACTTATAGCACCGACAATACAATGTATTTGTATTTACATATGATAAATATGCATTGGTCAGATGTGCAGAACACACTAAACTAAGGAAAACTAAGTAAACTGAGTCAAAATGCTGAGTCACCAATAATCAGTGGCTAAAAAAAAACAGAAAAAGCCAGAGTAAAGAGAGAACGAGAAAATGAAAGAAGCAAAGAGGGACTGTCCAAATTTCTGGCTGAAAAAAAAAAAAAGGAAGCATCGCTGAACGTGCGGTGTTTCCTCGTACGCTGATTTATTTGTGGCAGCCTACCACATTTTGATTTTCAGTTTTTTTGATATTTCAAAATGGTGAAATGTTAGTTTATTGTAGAGCATTGAGTCACTCAGCCCCTCCTCTCTGTGGGAGAGGCAACAGGTGAGATAGATAATACAGAGACAGAGCTGTTTACTTGTTCAGTTATTTATTTGTTACAAACTTGGCAATCAAAATATTTGCAGTGGAGCATCTTACATAGTGTATTATTTAATATTTTAATAATTGACCATGTTGGTATCATAGCTAAGGGTGGGTGGGTGGCCGGAGTGGGTGCAGATGAGGTTCCTAATTTGCAAAATTCTTTGTCCATAATTCCTAATGGCCTGTCTGTTCCTTTGCAACTGTTTTATTTAAACGATGAACGACTTAATCAATACTAACTGCATTTCGGTAACAAATGGAGCATTGTATTCATTTAGTTACAACATCAGTCACATGATGCTTAATATATTGGCATCAGCTGATCAAAATCCTGCTGGTGGTCTGTGTCTTTGTTCACTGAGGAACTTTAGAGTGATGAAGCCTCCACCAGCCGCAGCTCTGCTGGGTTTCATTATTCAGACTGTTGACACGGAATCACGGACTCATGATTCACATGATCATGAACTTGAAACGTCCCAAATGATGAGGGCGGGATCAGAATAGTATTAAACTGACTAACTGTCACTGTAGACCCTGTTGATGACAAATACTGGGACGCGTTAAGCAGGAAAGTATTTATACAGTTAAACTGTATTAATTGCGGCCGCAGCATGTGCAGTATGTATTTCTTCTCTGGGCCCAGCATACCGGCTTCTCATACCTCACTGAACCTAATGGAACCCAGCCGATCAACCAATCAGTGTTATTACTGTCACCTGTGCTAGTTCTCATGTGACAAGTCTAAACGTCTGCTGCGACCTCCTGGGCTGTAAATCCTTTTCAGTTGGTTCAACTTCAAAATGTACGTTTCTGACTTAATTTAAAGTTAAATAATTTGTTCAAAATCTTTAAGTTGTGAAAATGGAAAACCAACGAAGGTGAGTTCATTCAACTTGAGAAAACAAGCTCAAACACAATATGCGAGGCTGCTCCCAGTGACCTTCATACATTATAATCATTCTGACTGAACGGAAACAACCATAACTTATCTCAGCATGTATTGTATATGCATATATATATATATATATATGTAACACAGAGCAAATTCCCATCATGTGTGTTCACAGTTCATTCATTCAACTCATCCATTCATGTAAGAAGAATTACAGTCAGGTGAATTCATGTTTGTAAGTTCTGAAGTGGTCTGAAAATAAAACTAGATCTTGTTTTAAGTTGAATTCACTTCATGAAACTTATATATTGTAAAGTTATTAATTAAAGATTATTTGATTCCACTAAATTCCTGTTTGATGTTTTCCAGTGTAGAAGTCCTTCCTACACGTCTTGCCAACCAACCATCATATTCTTTTATTACAGTATATGTAATGTAGATTGTCTTCTTGTATCATGCATTGATCTGAATTCTAAAACACTCACTAGGTCATTGACTCAGTGAACATTTCAGACAAGTTAATGACCTGCAACAAGGAAGCGTGTGGTAAGGACATCAGTGTAGTGTGTCCCCACTGTTAGGTAGACTATGGTATTTAAAGAAAAGAAAAGTTAGTTATATTCAAATCAAAATGACCCATTCTGAAGGAGTCTGTTGGAGGTGTAGTAACAGCACTTTCAGTCGGTCAGGGAGCAAAGACGCTTTTTACACTGACTTTTGGGCTGAAGCACTTTTATAATGTGGACAAATAGGTGAAGCATTTCACAATTTACTAATGAAAGGAAAAATTTGTGACATGATTTATGTAGAATCAGAATTAAATACTGTCTTTACACACTATTTTGACACAAATAAGCTATTTACTGCTTGATGAACATCCGTGAGGTGCCGACAAAGCAGCTTAACAAGTCTTAAGGACAGAGACAGATTTAAAATAATGCACTGCTCGGTGCAGTAAATAAGTTGAAATGAAAACTTGTTTTCCATCAGAACTGCGGTACGCACTGAATAAGCCTGCAAATAACTCTCTTACGGGTTTTATGATCAGGCTCAGTTTTTGTGGCTTTATGCGACCCGGCTAAATGTGGGAACAATTAATGTGTTTCTGGCGTCAGTCTCATCTCAATTTGCCAAATAAGCTTATCGGCATAGTGACTGTGGTAAAACAAATATTTTAGAAATCACAGTGATAGCAAAACATATTAACTCACACTTCAGCCTGAAATAACAAACAATGGGGAGCACTTTTATAAGCTTATTCTGTGCCTTCCATCCACAGATGATATTGTTCAGTGCAACAAGGAAGGACACGGGTCACATCAGTAAGAACTCTTCTTGGACACACAAAGCAGATAAGGCTACTTCTCATTTAAAACTCATTGGTCCTTTGTCCTCTGTCTCTAGTTCATTGTCAGGCCAAAATATTCCTCTTTCTTCTCAAAGTAGAAGTTGAGTCGTGCTGTGGCGTATCTGGGAGGAGAGCAGAGGGCAGAAGACAGTCGTCAGAGAACACAGACAATTTTGTAAAATGGCAGCATTTCAAGTCTCCTGCTCTATGATAACAAAGTACTGGCTTCAAATCTGACCCTGGACTTTTATTGCATATGCTCTAACATTCCTGTCTGACATTCTAGTTTTTCTTCTATAGGTTTCAAATTCATACAAACACAATACAAATACATAAATCTATCCTCAGCTGACCTGTCCTTATGCCAGCAACTATGTTGATAATAGTAAAAAAGTGTTTCATCTTTTAGAGTGCAGTGTGTGCTGGGTTAAACTCAGGCAGGTGTAAGGAAAAATTGGATAGATCAATAGATAAACGGACAAGGATGCAATGAATTCCTCTGAAAAGTGACCAGACTCGAAAATCATATTGAGTTTAATGAAGGTGGATTCATGAAACATTCACAAACCTAACTCAAGACCCAAGATGAATGTCCACTTATATGGAATTTTATACACTTTACATAGTTAATTAAAATATAAAAATGATTGACTTTCTAAAACCACTCTCTTGTTACTTGATACAGTAGGAATTTGATTATCAAAGGATGAGTGTACATTAAATGTAACAACAAATATCCCATTTAGTTAGTTATTTCAAATATCACACAAATGTATGAAATAACTTAAATTGTTGCATAAAAACATGAGATATACACAATATTCCATACACATTACACCTCTGAGTCCAATTTAAACAAATAAAATTACATGGTCATGCTGGAAAATCAAGTCTGCAACACAACTAACTTGTCCATGTCTGTACACAGTAAATTAAGATCATTAAGCAAAATCTTATTGGATTAAAGGACAAAACAGAACATTTAAAATTGGCACTTTTGTTTTGTTTGTAAAGTTTCCTCTGGTGCAGTGGTTCTGTCAGACCAAGGACTTAACCATTGAAATAAAACTCACAGAACACCTAACTTCCCAACATCAACAAGACCAGTAAGGCCTACTGCTTCAGCAGTACTGTGGTGAACTCGTGTGGAAAAGTATCAGCTGATACAAAGTTTTCATCATCAGCACTTGCATCAAGTCGCTGTAGCTTGTCTGTTGTGTTCATTGTGTCGGAGGTTTCATTTGATTTTCTGTTCAATGACCAGGTCTTAAGAGTTACTACTGATAACTGATTGAACTGATTAAGCACCGTCCACATTTCCTTTTAAATGATCATTTTTGACGTGCATCGTAAAACATAAACTGTAAACTGTCGTAGCAACGTGAGTAGACAGTGTCGCCAAACGGTTCGTTGCAGTGAAGTCCAACAACACTGCAAAACAGCCAGTTCAAATAATAATGTTTGAATTTACATACCAGTTGATTTAATATTGAAAACAACACGTGTGTGCTACTCGCTACAGGGCTTTGTGGACACTCGCAGATAGTTTGACAAAACTGAAATTCAAAACATGATATTTTAACAAATGTAATCGCGGACCACTGGTGGTCCACTGACCACTCTCTGAGAAGGGCTGCTGTAATTAGTGTTTAAGTCACAGCATTGAATAACGGCCAGGGGTGTTTTTGCAGAACATTAATGATGTCACAGTGGAGTTGACCTTTGACCTTTGACCACCAAAATTTTATCAGTTCATCCTCGAGTCCAAACAAATGATTGCACTAAATTTTGAGAAATTCCCTCAAGGTGTTACTGAGACATTCTGTTCACTAGAATGGGACAGATGGACAATCAGACTGATGTATGGACAGACAACCCAAAAACATACGACCTCTATCTGTGGCCGTTGCCGACGGAGAGGCATACTTTTTTTTTTTTAAATTAGCAGGAAACTTTATGTGAAGGTGTATTCATACGACTTAGTATTGCACTTGTCATTAAGTCAGGATTATGCTGTAACTTGTAATAAGAAATCTTGAAGTGTAAAGCATGAGCTGAGATGATCACTATGACATCATCAGGGGTCAATTTCTCAGACTTGAAAACGCATCTCCAGAGCCTCACACAACATCAGAGTTGGAGTAACCAGATCTTTTCATGTGTGAAATTAGAGCAGCTCCTTGACAGGTGTCTCAATACTTCACAAATGTGGAAAATATAACAATAAAAATGTTAAATATGTTATATGAATAACGTGTGTCATGTGTGAAGCAGTTCTTTAAACTACTTGAAAATCTCTTTCATATATCTCGCGATGAACTTCCCCTGGAGCTTTCAGAACATTCACTGAGCTAGTGATAATGTGTTTTTCTAGTGCTCACCCCGGGTCACACAGCAGGCCCTGCTTATAACTCAAGGTGTGCAATGTGTTTTTGTTTTGAAAACTTGCATAATATAGCATCAATTCCCCGTTAAATAAAGCTCTGAGTCTGAAAGCTGTGCCAAAGCCATTTCAGAACTTAACTGTGACAAAAGTGATTTTGTATTTTTTCAAACCATATTATCAAAAGCCTCAATAAATCTGATGTCTGAGTACGCTGTTGCCCTTGGCCATTATATTCTACCCTTTGAAATTAAGTGAAGTTTCAAAGGCACAGAAAATGGGAGGAATAGAGAGGAATTTGTCCTTTAATCAGTGCTTTCGTTGAGCTCGTCGACGCAGAATCAGTTTTCTATCACTTATTGCCGGTGAGACAAAAAGATAATTCAGGCACATGCCTTTTAGTTACTTGTATTCCATCATTCTCTTCCCTACCTGTATCTCTGGGTTCTGTTGTCTGTTCTTTGCAAGAGTTCTTTCTTTCTTGTAGTTTCTTTGCTTCACTTGTGGGTCATCTTTAGATATACAATACACCAGTAGCTTGTTGAAAGAGGTAGGTGTTATATATAGTATGTATCCAACTTTAACCCTGTCTCCTAGACATTATGTTTCTATACAACTAAGCTGTTAATAAAAATTTGGGGCATAGAAATCCTGGCAGCAGAACCTGTATGCAATTTTCACTTCTCTCATTGTGGCTTGGCAAACTCTCACTGGCGTTTTCTCTGGACAGACATAATTTTAAGTAAAGCGTGTGCTACAGAGGATGATTGACAGTTTTCTCTCATGAAGCCTTCTCTCCTCTTGATTGGACAAACAAAACACCTGTTGGGCTGTGACTGCATCTATGGCAGCTGTTCAGCTGTGAACATCACATTTCTCCATGACGATCTTCCAGATTCAGTTTCTGTTAATTATTAGGCAAAAGACAGAATCATGGATCAGTATAAATATACTGAATTAAAAGTGGAGCCTTTACTTACTGTATTTCACTGCCTATGTGAGTGAAAATTAGAGTGTGTGAATGTGAAAAATGATGCGGCCACACTGGTTGTTTCGCATGACTCTGACTTCAGACAAAATGCAGATTTGTTCTGACCAAATCCATTATTAAATATTTTGCAGTATCTCTCCTCATTGTTGTTAGCAAAGAGCAGTGTCCTAAACACTCAGCCGGCAAACACTCAGTAATTGAAACTTATCAACTTTATAGTATTAAAGCTTTTTTAAACTTACACGTAGACTTTTTAAACTATGTAACAAAAATAAAAATCCTCTGCTATGAATAATATTTTGTTCAAAATGTTTTTCACACATAAAAAGTGAAAAAAAAAAAAAAAAAACTGGAAGCATTACTCTTACTTCCTGATTGAGAAATCTGGATCAGGCCTTGTGCCCCGCCCACCACCTGCTGGCTCCAGGTGGACAGGTGAAAGAGCAGAGAGCATTAAGACGGTTAGAGAAGGAAACATCAGAGAGACTCATCCACATGTTTGAGCCTCAGTCAGACCCAGACTCAGATGAGGAGTCTGAGACCAGAACCAGAGACTAGCAGACGGATCAGAACGGTTAGCGCAGTTAGCGTCTTTTATTTGTTTATGTTGTTTGTTAGCTTGTAACTGGCAGTGGCTGACACAGTGTTAGCGCTTATGCTAATGCTAACTCTCTCTCTCTGTACTGACAAGGTTTCAGGTTTATTTAGCCCCGCCCCCTGTCCCCACAAGTTGACTGGTTCCTTAGGTTTGTGAAGTATGAAACATTTGAATCTGTTTTTATGAGACACTGAGTCATTGGTTCACTGCAGTTCAAGGTGGAAACACTCAGTCATGGTGTTGATGTTTATTTCACTCATCATATGTCTCGTACCACAAAAAATAACACTATATAGACTGGGACCTTCTGTATTTGGATCAAGTACCACGTATGTTAAATTTAGTCTAATTTAAAAGGCTACAGCTACAGCTGTTAATTCATTGTATCAGATACATATTTAATAAATATATTGGATTGGTTTTGGGATGAACACATACCCAGTATTAAAGGACTTGGATCAGGAAGCCAAAAACACTTCATGAGGTTTTTTGATTTCTGAAAGATGACCTGGTTTGTCACTGTATCTGTCACTGATTTTGTCAGTGAGTTCTCCAGATTTGATGTAGTTTATATTTGTGCCAGATACTTTAAAGAACAGACACAATTTCTATTGAAGTGTTGGCGTGCACACAGACAAAATACAGAGTCCTGTCAACTGATTTTAAATACATGTCCCATTAACTTTGTCAGTAAGATGATGCTCTTATTCTAAAAAATAAGTCCTCACTCACATTAAAATGACACTTTTAAACTAACAGGATGCAAAATAATTGAACACCACTTGATAAATCTCAAAATCATTAAGTGGACATTTAGTTATTTAAAATAAAAAGTCAAAAGAGTTTCAATGTAAGCTTCTACAAAAAAAAAAAACCTCTGTTCAAAGCATTTTGCACCGTTAATCTAATTACCTGTCCCCTCCACACCCAGCATAAGTGAAATTACATGTGAGTACACCCATTTAGAAGAACAGCAGCCTTCACAGACAATCCCATTCATCCCTGTTTTTATTAAGGCCGACACCTAAAACTAGCGTGCTCAACGTTTATCATCATCAGAGATGAAACTGAGATGTTTTTCTATTTAGCAGAAGGAGAGGAAAATGAACTCCCTCCAAAGCAGGTATTCCCTTTCACAATGTGCTTTTGTGCACAATTCCCCCCAATTTTGCAGTCAGGCTATTCCAAACAGTGGGCCTCCTCCTCATTCATTTCCTCATAATAATGTCTTTGTCAAATAACGGCTCGCCTTGCCAACACGTCCACAAATCTAAACCACTGACTCGCAGACACTTTCAACACATGAATAAAATCATATAAGGAAAGTAAATACGCACGGTGGAGGGAGGGCGGCTTTGCATTCCCCTTGTGGCTCCCTATTGTCACATCTACATCTGGCCCTGGTTAAAGCACAAGGCCCGGGCGACGCCTGTCACTCGATGGGAAGTCGGCGGAGATTTGGCTCAGGGGGATAACAGTGGGAGGAAACACACGCACACACACACACACACACACACACACACACACACACACACACACACACACACAATGTTTTAACTCTAACTTATTATCTCTTCCCTCAACTGAATTTTTTTTTTTTTTTATCATCAAAGAATAAAGCAGCAGTGCAGTGTGGAGAAGGGATGTAAAACCTCATAGTTAAGTGAAGAGAATTCTGACAGGTAAATTAAGGTTAAAGCTGCTTTATTCATTAAATCAAATGTTAAATCTTTTGGTTTCATGTTCCAGTCTCAATGCTCTGGTGGCGTTTGATATTGTACGCTGATGCTAATATGCAAAGGCTACATCCACACTGATACTTTTACATTTTAAAATGGCATTTTAAAACGAAAACGATCTCCGTCCAGACGACCGTTTTAACTCTGTATCATCGTTTCCAAAAGTCTTAGTTTCTGCTCATCTAGACTTTTAAACTAAAACAGGGTCAGCAGCGTTTCCAAGAGTCTCTGTTTTAGGGGCTCGAAAACTGCGGAGTGGTGTGGACATCAGGATTAAATGTTGCAGAACAGATGCATAAAATGTTAAAACTAAAACTAAGACCTGTGCTTGTCAACCACACGGCTGGCAGACACAGTTCAGCTTGAGTTGGAGAAAAATGACCTCGTATTTGTATGTATGTGTGTACTGTATATATATATATATATATATATGAGTGTGTGTGTGTGTGTGTGCTTTCATCATTCATGCTGCAAAGAAAGAGACTGTGCAGATGGCAACAGTCAAGTTTGTCCTCGCTTTTGTCTTCTCCTCATGAGTCTGTCCTTATCGTTCGTTTAAATAGCATAAAACATGTGTGTCTCTCTACATATATGTGTGTGTGTGTGTGTGTGTGTGTGTGTGTGTGTGTGTATGTGTATGTATTACAGGGACAGACCTGGTTCCCCGTGGTTACGGTTGCTCTCAGAGCTCATTTCAGTTTAACCCTCCAGTTGAAGAAACGTAACCCGACCCTCACCCTGCACTTTAGGACAACCTCAGCCGGCAGCTTAGAGGAGCAGACGTCTAGCAGGCGAGCGTGGCCCAGCCAGGGATGAGAGACGTATATGTAAGGGAGGACCGACGGCACGGGAACAATAGTGCCTCTGTGCCTCGGCACCCCTCTGGATCACATTTCCTCCGAGGTCCAGATCGAAATGAGGCGGGGGCCCTGTCGCTGATCTAGCAAGTGGGCAGAGAAAAGCCACACAGAGGGGAGGGTGCCGTATGTCAATAGTGATTAGGATCACGATCACAACTGTGGCGGGTGTGGGGCACACAGGGGAGGGAGAAAGGAGGGAAAAGTGGGGGTGGAGGGAAACATTTTGCCCTCCTGAACTTTATTGTCTGGTTGCTGGTAGTAAGGAATGTCTCCTGGACCTGTTTAAAGACAACTAGCCCCTGTGTGGATTATAAAATGTTTAGAAATAAAAGAAATTAATTTTCTTTAAAGTCTTTGTGAAAGCTCGGCCTTTCATCTTCTTTTTTTTTTTCGCTGAAACGGTTTAAGAGTGAAGAAAAGCAGAGAATTTCATGTGTAAACATTTGTCTGTATTTAGTAGTGACAAGAGGAGTGGGAGCAGTGTGCTTGTCCTGCCTGTTTTATGCCAGATTCTGGATACACAAAGTCTTGAAGCACCGCTGGAAAAAAAAAAGAAAAAAAAAAAAGAAATATTTCCACACTCTGGGCTCAAGTCCCCAATCTTTTATTGCAATTTCTCTGCCAGCAAATTCTTCGTCAGGCGATCCTAATGAAGATCCTGTTTGTCTAAACACTGAAATAAAACGCTGAGAGCTTGAATTCAATGCTCAGGATGTGTTTTTCCACTTGTGTTTATTTAAGTGACGTATGATGATGTTAAGTGCTGTAATAAGGTGGTCCAATGAGTTACAATTTTCTTTGCGGTTTCATGTGTTTTTACATTAAATAGCTGTTGAGGTGGTGTTAATGTGAAGGTGCTGCTTATGTCAGACGACGTCCATTTGAATAGTAGCAATTTGTAACCTGTCTATCTGTCGATGGACAAAACGTCACAGTCATAGAGCTTCAGCAAATGAGAACAAATGTTCATGCGAAGTGACGCAGACACACACTCACTGCCAACTGTGGACACAACGTAACCACATGGAAAAATCTCCTGTTTTTTCTGTTTTCGTGGGACCTTTAAGCTGCTTCTGTCAGAGGTACTAACCTTTGGAAGTCAAAGTCGATGGATGAAAAGCGAGACTGCAGGATGGCCCAGAGACCCCAGAAGAAGTTGGACGCCTGAAGGAGAAGATAGAAAACTTTAAAGCACCAGAGTAGGAAGTTAATTTAGCCAGACTGACTAGATTTCAAAGCACATTGTCAAGATTTGACACACTTGCTTGAGATAATCCAACACTGTGTTGAAGTAGAATTAGATTTGAAAAAATAATTGAATAAAATATATATATATATATATGTATATAAAGCGCTATAGAACATAACAAGAGCAAGGCCAGACTTTATACTTGGTATACTGGATTAGGACTGGGGACGGTTGCAACACTTTTTGCATTTCTCTCAGTTACTCAGAGACTATGTTGTAGGCCAACCAAACTTTTATATATTAAACTTACATCTGTCTGCTAATTACCCATACCATTTACAGATGATAATACATGACATACAGTATTGTTCACAATAGTTATTTGAATGGAAGAATTAAGGTGTTGCAGCTGACCCCAAGCCTGAGGATAATTGCAACATGGAACAGAGATGGTTGCAACATATTAAAAATATGCAAAATTTATCTTTGCTTTTGTCTCAATTAGCATATTACTCTGAAAGTATTTTTTTTTTTACAATAATATTAGTATTATTAGTGTATTTAATATTATTTTTCAAATGCTAGTTATTGACTTTTGTTTTGCATAGAATATAGTACAATTTATTGATTTTATTCCTTATGATGAACAGAACAGGCTAATATAGGGATAAGAGGCTAACAAAATAATTTGCTCAATATTATATAATAATAAAATAATTGGTTGAACTTTATCATTATTATTATCGCATATGTTCTTACTCTTATTCATATGGTTTGATAATGATTTGGCTGCTTAGCTTGGGGACAACAACTTGCGACTGTCATCACCCCACGAGCATGACAGAACATCATGTGCTAGCTAAACACACTTACCTTAGCACATGCTAACCAAGTAAGTTTTGATTAATTCATACAAAAGGTCAGGACAGCTTGACAAAAATATGGCTTGAAAAAAAAAAAATCACTTTCATATTAAACAGATTTTTTACAATAAATGCAGCAGCACATGTCGAATGTGTCTTCTGTCTTTGTGGTGGGAGGAGGGTCTAACTGAGCATGTGCAGAGCGAGTGTCATCACTCTAGCATTTTTCTGATTGGAGGAATAAGACTTGTTGCTTCCATCCCCTGTTGCAACTGTCCCAGTCTCCCCTACCTAACTCAGTTTACATGTTGCTACATGTACCACACAATTAAAACATTTTTCATTGTTTCATTTTGTTGCTCTCATTTTGAATAATGTATTTTTTTCTGCAATATATACATATATATATATATATATATATATATATATGTGTGTGTGTGTGTGTGTGTGTGTGTGTGTGTGTGTGTGTGTGTGTGTGTGTGTGATTTATTAAAACTAAAGCAGTAACATCAAGCAACTTAATGTAATGTGCTTGCACTCTCAGTTCAAAACATGATGTTGCCTTTGAAGGAAACAGCAGCTACAACGTGTGAAGACCATACAATACTCAATTCACCCCTTTAATCCAATTAAAGCTTCAAAAGCACACTTCTTCTTGCCCCCCCCCCCCTGCAGGGAGGTCACAGTGGGGTCAGATGTCAGCGCCTTGCTCAAGGATACGTCAGTGAGGCAAACGCTTGCTGACGGAGACCGAACTGGAGTCATCTAACTGAATGATAGACTCATTAAGGACTGGGAGGTGTTTTAAAAGTGTAGAAATCTGGATCACATTGGTGGTTTTACACTGTGGTGCACGTAAATTAAACATCACAGGTGCTGTATGGCTTCACTAATATTCAACTTTGTTTTTGTGTCATGTTTTGCTACATTCCCTGTGCTACAGAGCAGAACTGTAAAACCACACTTCAGTGACCTCCAGTCGTCGTGTTATAACTGCTGCTGCTGCTGCTGCTGCTCAGTCAGGATGACAAACCTCTGTATTGAATGGTTCCCTCCTTAATGGCTTTGCTCACTTAGGCTTGCGGACTTCCATGCCTCCATAAATTTCTGTTGTTCTCCACCCTTATTGTAAATCTTCTTGGTAGGACCACTAATAGCGAGTCCTAATAAGATCCAGACAGGCCTCTGTTCTGTGGCCCAGTGATATAATCACATTTTTATTTGATAATCAAATAAAGGGTGGAATGAAATACTTGAAGAGCAATGTGCGGTTTTCCCTTGGCTTCTCTCCCCCTCACTGGCAGATTTTCATCTCTAATCTCTGTCTTTAGTGGGAGAGAGAGATTGAGCGTGTTTCTATTATGATTAATAACTGCTCTCCATTAAGCGAGCATTAGTCTAACACTAAGCAGAGGCCGTGGGTGACAGGGAGCCATTGAGAAAAACGAGATGAGAGACGTGTTAGGGAGAGTGACATCACAGAGCCGCGGGCTATAGCCTCAACATCACGGGGGATCCCTGCGGAGGGGAGGATGAGTCGTAAAGACCCCGTGGTGTCCTGGCACAGTTCACCAAGGATTAAGACTGGAGAGAGCCAGCTTCACACCGCAGAGTTTTGGCATCTCGCCAGGCTTTGTCAATGCCACACAGCTTCCACCACAGCAGACTGCTTCCCTTGGTTCCTGAGTTTTCACCATTCATGTGTATCATTAACGACTGAGACTTCACTATGGTGTGACTTCAATGTACTTTGATTATTCCAAGCTTTTACCAAGTGACATGAAAGTGGCACAAAGAGATAAAATTATATTTAATTTAATTGACAAAAGAAGGAATAAAAAAAGGAGAATATTAAAAAGAATCAGATTGAATTAATAATTACTGCTGTCAAAGCCAGTTTAATATAATCAATGATATCATCTGGTTTTTCCAGATGTGATGTGAGATGATTTAAACATCTTGTCAGATCTGTATGGAGCAAATGAATGGTCAAACCAAGTGTGGACAACTTTTACTGTGCCACTTCTGATGACAATGGGAGCAGTGCTGCAATAACAATTGTTTTATTAGCTATTAATCTGATAATTGACTTGATTAATTGTTTTATGTACTGAAAAAAATTCCATCAGTTTCCCAAATCCCAAAGTGACATCTTCACATTGTTTGTTTTCTTCAGACAAACATACAGGCAGTTCATTTACTATCAGAGAAAACCACATATTTCATTTGAGAAAATTTCTCTTAACAATTAATCGATTATCAAAATTGTTTTCAGGTCATCGTAATATTTCATATTATCATAAGACGAGAAGAGAAATTATACAAGGGACCTTGAATGTTTTGTTTCTTTTGTCTCTGGATGGTTGATAAGTAATGAAAAGTTAATGAAGTGAATAACTGTAGGTAATCAACGTTTAGCTGCTGCTGTACGCTGTATATTTTTAAAGAAAGAAGTTTCAGCCCGACACCTTGAAACGATGAAACCAGACCCTGTGATTGTCTCAATTAACAGGCTCCGTGTCCCTCACTTTGACACACGGCTTGTCAAAACCAGCCGAGCTGGAAACTTGGCTTGTAAAGCGTCAGTGATCAATTTCTCCCACTTCCCTCGAGTCCTCCTCGGTTTGTCATAGAAAATCTGATTTCAATCAACATGATGTTATCGCTCCTCTCACTCCATTCCAGGCCATATTTCTTTCCCCCCTCTCTCTCTCTCTCTCACTTCTCCCTCTCTGGTTTTTGGCTGCGACACAAGTTATTTTAAAAAGTAATATGCCTTCTCATCATTTCTGGACAATTTCAAGAGAAATTGGTCAGACAATTCTACATATTGTGTTGAGCTATGAAAGCACTTTTAGACTGATAGCCCAGCACCACTTGAGCCACCAAAGAATGAAAATTGTGGTCATAAGAAAAATAATTTTGGCTGCTGTCTTTCATTTTTCCCTGCGGCAGTTTCTAATCAACTCAGATGGAGTCCATCAAACTCTGAGCAGCGGTGGGTCAGCTGTGGACCGGCTTTGGTTTTTCTTTGAGGAGTTTTTTTTTTTTCTTCTGGGTGCTGGAAAAGTAAATTGTTAAAATGTGATGGTGAGGTGTTGCCGCCCTGCCATTTTAGAGGGCTGCACAAACACATATGGATATTGCTGAAATGGGCACACTAATCTCATAATATTGAGATATTTTAGTCCCTGCAACAGCACAACTTTAGGAAAGGAAATAACTGTTGAGAGATTTGTCACTTTTCAAAGTCTGTCCAAAGTGCTGAGGTACTACATAATGACATATTTCAACATTTCAACAGAGTCAGGGGGAGACAGACACTCACCAGTGAGAATTTGCAGACTTGAATGTAGAGCTGCGTAACTTCTGCCTCTGTAACCGTGACCTCACGTCCTGTGCTGTGCTTGTAACTCTCCAGATAGGCCGTCAGCCAGTCCCTCTGCAGCTCCCGACTCGGATACAGGCTGTAGTTAACATCATTCACACCTTCAACACACGCACGCACGCGCACACACACACACACACACAGTAGAACTTGTGTCTATGTGAAAATTCAACACAAAGACTAAAATAACTGTCAGTTTTGAAGATTTGCCACAGAACTACATCATTTCATCTCCTCAGTCAACAGTCCACACAAATAGTTCAGTGAACATGATGTTACAAACACATAGTAAATTGCCCAGTTTATGACAGCACCTTCAGCTGAACACTGATTTTAAAAATCTTTGTGAGGTTGATGTGGTGCAAATGAAAAGTACAACATGGAGATAAAAATATAAGGACAACAAATATTGACTATCAATTACTTTTACAATAGATTTCTCAATTGACTGTTTGGTTTTAAAAATGTCAGAAAATAGTGAAATAGGCCTTTCCTATATTTTGTGAGACAGACACACTGTCACATGTACTGAGTACATTTACTACCGTACTTCAGTATTTACATGTTATTACTGCTTTTTACCCCACTGTATTTATTGGACACCTACAGATACTAGTTACTTTTAAATGAAGAGTTTACATGGAAATCACTATAAGTTTATATAATATGTTACAGATGGAACTACTCAACAGTAGCTTACATATAGTATCATGGTTGAGATTGGCTCTACATTGACTACAGCAATCATTTTTTGGGCTTTTCTCTGCCTTTATTAAGAGTTGCAGTGAGAGAGACAGACAGGGAAGTTTGGGGTGAGAGAGAGGGGATGACATGCAGCAAAGGGCCGTGGGTTGGATTCGAACCCAACCCTTAGCGCTTAAGGGTTGGGTCGAGTCCTAATGGTAATGTGTCTCTACTATGGTGAGCCCACCGAGGCAAGCAATTATTAATCTATAAACGTAACATGTTATAAAGTCAGAAAAGTAGAG